CTTGTCATCAAAAAACTCGTAACTCATCTTCCATAGAATCAATACTTTGCACAGATGCATTCCAGACTTCTCTGCACAACAGATTTGGCCCCCTGTGGTCCAGCAGGAACAGCATTACTACTGCTAATACGAGGCCACAACCTTCACAAGGCTTACTCTGCAAGGCCTTAGTCCTGGCCTACTCAACTTGTTATCAAGGCATTATCAGAACACTGGCATTTGAATGTGGGACAACCGTAATGGCCTTGAGAGCACAGGCACAGAATGAAAATAGAGTCCTCAAAGCTATAAACAATTAACTGATGGTCAATTACTTTTCTATAGTGAAGAAATGTAACCTTGAAAACCAAGAAAATGTTGCCTTGAGCGCAATAAAGGTTAAAGAGGAAAAAAACCAAGGCAGCAGTTAAGCAAGAGGAAAGACAGCTGCACAACAGGACAGCTGCCACAGCCTGGCAAAACAACACCTGCCAGAATCATGCAGGACAGGCACCAAGGCCTAAAACCTGCCTACAAACTCAAACATCTTAAAAAAGGACATCTTTAATACGGAACAGGGAGGATGTTTTGGGGTCACTGTCACAGAAGCTCTTATCACACAATCAGAGTGGGATCCTGGGAGCTGCATCGAATCATAGAATAGCTTGGGCTGGAAGGGACCTTAAAGATCATCTAGTTCCAGCCCCGCTGCCATAGCCAGGGATGCCACCCACTAGATCAGGTTGCTCAGGGCCTGATCCAGGCTGGCCTTGAACACCTCCAGGAATGGGGCATCCACAACCTCTCTGGGCAACCTGTTCCCATGCCTCACCACCGTTCAGAACATTTCAGAAATTCAGAATAACACTGGAAACAATGCAGCCACTCTATTACAAGGCTATAATCATTACTGAATTTTATACTTATTCCCCTTTTAAAATACTTATTTGGAACAGCACATTACTTAATCCTTAACTGTATTACATCAGCATGACTCTGTAGCATTTTTCTGTGAAAAAAAAATAAGTAAAATGAAGCAAAGTGCCATTAGCTATCCTCTGGAAGCAAGCATCTACTTACCAATGTCATGAATTGGCTGCTTCACTCCTATTTCATTATTGACAGTCATTACAGAAACCAAACCCGTGTCTGGCTGGAACGCAGCCTCCAGCTCCTGATGAAATATTCAAGCAGACAGAAGTTATGACTAAAAGCAGAAGCAAAAGATTCTTGAAGCACACATCCATTTTGCTAGCAAGTCTTAACCAGCCCCCTAACTAGCACACAGTCAACAATCCCTGTGGCTTCTGACAAACAGACCCAGTGACTGTTGAACATGTTTAACTAATCCACACAAACATGGGATACCTGCAGGAAGAGGAGCGTGACAAACTGCATTTCTGCATATCCTAACCGTGGTATGCACAGAGCCACCTGACGCGATCAAGTCAGCAAAAGTTTTTGCCACGTGTCTTGTATATTCCATGAACTATTTTTTGTTTTAAGAATTAAACACCCACAAGCCATCTTAACCCACATCTAGACAAAGTAAGGCTGACTACAAAGGAATTGTACCATATACGCAAAAATATCACACAAAGGAGGAGTCTGCCAGCAAAGTTCTTATAAAACTTAATTAACACTTTTGTGCCTGCCAGCCTGATCACTCCCCTCCACATCCCCACAAACTCTCTCCAAGCCAGATGACAGGCCTACAAGCAAAACTGATGCTGACTTGTATTACAGGACACAACTGATGAAATAAGCATACACACTTCTAAATCCCAGGACTGCAGCCCTTATACCCAGAAGGGTCAATTGATAGACAGAAACCAGAAGGGAGCTTCGCAGTCATTGTGTTTGATGCCTTGGGCAGCTCAGGTCATGAAATTTCATCACTAACTCTTTTATCAAATCCCGCTCCACAGCAGCCACCCACAGGGTATGTGACAGTTCTACCTACATGGACACAACTGCCAGCAGATTGGGATGAGGAATGGACTCTGGTTGAGAAACATCTAGAGCACACGACAGAACAGAAAATCCTGCTACAGCCATCACAAATTTGACTGTGACTCTCCTTCTACGGTGTGCTATTTATCATCCTTTCTCTCTTTATTATTCAGGGGTCACAAGGTCTTCTTCAGCACCAGTTTGAAGCAAAAAGATCTTCCATTTTCACCATCTGTCAGTAAATAACCTACCTTCAAATCTATCAGCCCATTTTTTTGAACAGGCAGATACGTGACACGAAAACCTTCTGCCTCTAAGGAGCGGCAAGAATCCAACACACACTTGTGCTCTGTTTGCGTAGTAATGATGTGCTTATTTCTCGATTTATAGAATCTTGCGACACCCTGTCAGGCACAATACATGAACAAGAAATTTGCTGTTACAACACCGAAGAGAGCAAGCTTTATATAAAATGCACAAAAACAAGAAATTGCTATTTAGATATTATAAAAATAATGCAATCTTGACTGTGAAATGCACAGAGCTGTAATTCATACTAGATACTTTCATGAGTACTTGTTGCACTACAGCATCTCACTTCAAAAAAAAGCCTATGGAAATGCTAATAGATATAAATTCTTGACACTGCTTATTAACAGAAGCACTTTTCAGAAATTTGTTATGAGTCATATATAATGAGACCTCTGAACAACCACAGACTCTAGATTAAAGGTTAAAACACAATCTTAGCAAAGAAAAGTTTGCAATCACCACCACTGTTTTGTTGTAAAGATTTAAATTATGTAAACAAAAGAGCTGTACTTGGTGCACATAAGTTAAGTGTATGTTTTACTTCCATGTAAAATAAAATTGAATAAAAAAAAAAAAAAGCCACACGAACTAGTTTTGTTCAGACTCAATGGAAATGCATTTTAAATCAGCATGACAAAGGAAAACTAAACCCAAAGAATTTTAGTGAATCATTGGGCCAATGGTGGAACACTGAGGTGCTTTTTTACCACAAAACAGCCCCTAACCCCAAGAAGAAACCAAAACATTGAGTATTGTATACTGTCCTCAAAACCATGTCCTGGGTACAGCCTGACCTTCCCCTGTTGCAGCTCCATGCTGCTCTCTTAGGTCCTGTCGCTGTCCCCAGGGAGCAGAGCTCAGCACCTGCCCCTCTGCTCCCCTTGGAAGGGAGCTGCATCCTCCTCTTCTCTGGGCTGAACACACCAACGGACCTCAGCTGCTTCTCATACATCTTGCCCTCTACACCCTTCACCATCTTTGTAGCCCTCCTTTGGACACTCAGGCAGTTTTAAATCTTTCTCATACTGTGGCACCCAAAACTGCACACAGTACTCAAGGTGAGGCCGCACCAGTGCAGAGCAAAGTGGGACAATCACCTCCCACTATCGGCTAACAGCGCTGTGCTTGATGCACCTCAGGATATAGTTGGCCCTCCTGGCTGCCAGGGCACACTGCTGACTCATGTTCAGCTTGCTGTTAACCAAAACCCCCAGGTCCCTTTCTGCGGGGCTGCTCTCCAGCATCTCATCCCCTGGTCTGTACATATAGCCAGGGTTACCCCTTCCCAGGTGCAGAATCCAGCACTTGCTCTTGTTAAACTTCATGCTGTTGGTGATTGCTCAGCTCCCTAATTTGTTCAGATCTCTCTGCAAGGCCTCGCCCCCCTAGACAGAGTCAACAGCTCCACTCAATTTGGTACCGTCTGCAAACTTGCTCAAAAAACCTTCAAGTCCTCATCCAAATAGTTTAGGAAAACACTGAAGAGGACTGGTTTAATTTGTTGAAAGATGTGCACAGTTCTTAACAGTATAGTTTTAACAAAATATCTATCAGCATAAACCTTTTACCTTAATTGCCATGTTATTTGATTCTGTAGCACCGCTAGTAAAGATAATTTCTCTTGAATCAGCTCCTATTAAATCCGCAACTTGCTGTTGAAAAAAACATGCAAATTTGATTTATTATAAAATGCAACGAATTCACCATACCATAACACAGTCAAAATGTTTTCAAGAATACACTTTAGAGTCTCAGAAGGGTCACAACTAGCATCTAACAAAGTTATGCTGCAGATACAATCATCTCCATTAATACAAAATACACGAGAAGCTCATAATCATTATTAGCAATGGCATTAAGCATTAGCCTGTCATAAATTAACGTAAAAAAATAAGTACACAAGAAAACAGTATATACTGCTTCCAAAATAAACAACAAAAATACTTATCAAAGACCAGGAGAATGAGGACATTAGTCCCCTTACTGCAGCAGCACACTCATGACCCTCAGGAGACCCAAAATTCTGAGGCATCTTTGCCTGAGGTATTGCTTTCTGCCGTTTCAAATTGCTCTAATATCACTGCTTTTCCTTTCAATACGTCTGCCAAAGAATAGCTCAACACAGAGGAAAGGAATTTGCCCAATCCAGCCTGCAGACGACTAACTCACACAAAAGGCTTTATCACAGAATCATCACCGCTTTTGATCGTCTTTTGGCACCAGATGCCCTCGCCAGCAGGAAAACCACGGGCTGCCTGGAGCCCCCACTCACCCGCCTGGCTTTCTCCACAGCGGCCTCGCTCTCCCAGCCGTAGGCGTGTGTCCGGGAGTGTGGGTTGCCGTAGTAGGCTGTCAGGTAGGGCAGCATGCTGTCCAGGACCCTGGGATCCTGCAGGACACAAACTGCTCAGCGACAAGGAGCAAACACACGCATTTCTTCAAACAAACACAGCAGAAAGAGGGATTTCTGAGGAGAAGCAGGAGGTGCCACAAAGGACGACACCAACCAGGGCCTGGGACAGCGCTGGGCCGGGGAGGGGACGGGGAGGAGACGGGGACTCGGCAGAAGGAGGACGGCGCCGGCCTCGCAAACCGCAGCGCCAGGGCCCGAGCACGCACCAGGGGGGTGGTGGCCTGGACGTCCATGTACAGCGGCCGCAGGGCGCCCTCGCCATCGCTGCTTGGCTCTGGGGAAGAGGGTGCCGGTGCCGGTCCCGGTCTCGCCGCCACCGAGAGCCGCCGGGGGCCGGGGGCCGCCCTCAGGGCCGCCAGGCGCCGCCACAGCAGCATGGCCGAGGGGGCTGTGCCGGGACACACCGGGCCCTGCCCGCCCCTTCCGCCCACGTCCCGGCAGCGACGGAAGCGGAGAGCGGAGAGGGCGGCGGCGAGGTACGGGCAGGGCCGGGCCGGGCCGGGCCGGGCCGCGGGGGTCGGGGCCGCCGTGAGGTGGCTGCGGCGCGGGCCCGGGGGTGGGGGGAGAAGCGGGGCCGCGCCGGTGCCAGGAGCTGCCCGGGGCGCGAACGCTGACGGGGGGCTCCCCGGGGAGCGGGGCTCGGGGAGCGGAGTGACGAAATCCCGAAAAGTGAGGGAAAAACAGGCGGAAAACACAGCGGCTGCGGTGCGGGCAGGGCCCCGGAGCGAGCCCCCTGCTGTGGTGGATCTGTCGGGCTGGGCCGCTGGACGCCGCCACAGCTCCCTGAGTGCCCCTGCTCGGGAGGAGAGGAAAAGGAAAGGAACAGCTGACGGGTTGAGATAAGGATGGTTGAATTGAAGGGAAAATAATTACTAGGGGAAGTTTATTAATGATTAAATAATTTAACTAAAGGGGAAAAAGAGAAAGGGGGAAAGGAAAAAGCAAGCAAACAAACAAAAAACAAGCAAAGGCCGTGTGGAAGTGCAGAGGAAAGAAATTCCTCTCTGCTTCCCACCAACGAGCGATACTCGACCACGTCCTTGCAGCAGGGCCTCAATGCATGTAGCCGGTGTTTGGGAGGACAGACGTTTTCACAACAGGAGCCCACCCTTCCCCTCTTCTTCCTCTTTCCACCTTTTATTGCTGAGTGTGACCCCACATGGTATGGAACATCCCTTGGGTTGGTTTAGGTCAGCTGCCCTGGTGATGTTCCTTCCTCACCTCGCCCACCCCCAGCCTGCTGGCTCTGGGGGTTAGAGGGAGTCCCGATGCTGTGCCAGCCCTGCTCAGCAGCAGGCACAGCACTGGGGTGATCCCACTGCTGTTCTGGCTACGAGTGCAGAGCACAGCGCTGTGTGGGCTGCTGCAGGGAAAGTTAACGCCATCCCAGCCAGACCCAGGACACCTGCAGGGTCGATCGGCTCCATGGCTGCTGCCTGACTGGCCACATCACTCAAGACCCCAAACCTCTAGGTGGGGGCAGGGGGAGCAGAGTCCCTCCCACCGTAAGGAAAGAGCAAGTTTGGGACCTCCTGATGCAATTTAACAACTACAAGTCTATGGGGCCTGATGACATGCATCCCAGGGTCCTGAGGGAACTGGATGATATAGTAACCAAGTCTCTCTCCATCATATCTGAAAAATCATGGCAGTCAAGTGAAGTCCCCAGTAACTGGAAAAAAGGGAAACATCACTCCTATTCTAAAAAAGGGTAGAAAGGAAGACCTGGGGAGCTACAGACCAGTGAGCCTCATCTCTGTGCCTGGGAAGATCATGGAACAAATCCCTCCTGGCAGCAATGTCAAGGCACACGCAGGACAAGGAGGCGCTCCGAGACAGCCAGGACAGCTTCACCAAGGGCAAATTGTGTCTGACCGATCTGGTGGCCTTCTAGGATGGAGTGACTGAGTCAGTTGACACGGGAAGACCGACCGATGTCCTCTACCTGGCCTTGTGTAAGGCCTTTGACACGGTCCCACATGGCATCCTGATCTCCAGCTTGGAGTGATGTGGATTTGGTGCGTGGACCATTCCGTGGATAAGGAATGGGCCTGAAGGCCATACCCAGAGTGGTGCTCAACGGCTCCGTGCCCAGGTGGAGGCTGGTGACGAGCGGTGTCCCTCAGGGGTCTGTCCCTAGGACCGGTGCTGTTTCATATCTTTATCAACCACATAGACAGGGGGATCGAGTGCATGCTCAGCAAGCTTGCAGATGCCGCCAAGCTGAGAGGTGTGGTTGATACCACAGAAGGCCAACTGCATCCTGGGCTGCATCAAAAGAGGAGAGGGTAACAGGTGGAAGGAGGTGATCATGCCCCTCTGCTCTGCCGTTGTGAGGCCCCACTTGGAGTCCTGCATCTCGGTCTGGGGCTCCAGCACAAAAAAAGACGTAGACCTGTTAGAGCGAGTCCAGAGGAGGGCTACAAAGATGATCAGAGGGCTGGAGCACCTCTTCTATGAAGAAGGCTGAGAGAGCTGGGGCTGTTCAGCCTGGATAAGAGAAGGCTCCAGGGAGACCTAATCACAACCTTTTAGTACTAAAAGGAGTCTTATGAAAAGATGGAGAAGGAGTCTTTACTTAGGTAGGTAATGATAGGACAAGGGGGAGAGATCTTAAACTAAAAGGGAGATTTAGACTAGTGGTTAGGAGGAAGTTCTTCACACTCAGAGGGGGGTGAGGCACTGGAACAGGTTGCCCAGAGAAGCTGTGGTGTTCCCTGGAGGCTTTAAAGGCCAGGCTGGATGGGGCTTTGGCCAACCTGATCTAGTGGGTGGCATCCCTGCCCACGGCAGGGCGTCTGGAGTTAGATGATCTTTAAGGCCCTTTCCAACCCGAGCCATTCAATGATTCCATGACCTCACAGTTGCCGCTTTCCAGCCCAGTTTGGTTGTAGAAGTGTGTGGGGTGTGGCAGTAAATCCATCTGTGTTTTTTCTTGTATGTGTGCTTTGTTTTCTAGATGCCTGTGACCGTGGGCCCGTACGGGCAATCACAGCCCAGCTGCTTTGACAGAGTAAAGATGGGTTTCATGATGGGCTTTGCTGTGGGCATGGCAGCAGGAGCGCTGTTCGGCACGTTTTCCTGCCTCAGGTATGCCACAGAAACGGCTCCCATGGATAGGGCACGACAGCCGCAGCCAGGGAGAAATGTTTCCTGCTCTGGGCTAGGATGGGAGGCACAGGTCTGGTTCTTATTTGTCACAGAGATGAAACTTTGCCCGTGGATGAAGTTGGCCTGTTCTGGGATGGACAGGTACCACCCGTAACTGTGTACAAGTGGATCACAGTTACGCAGACCTTTCCCTGCCACTTGTGGTGGAGGTTGTTTTGGGAAGCACTGCTGAGCTGTCAAAATGCTGCTCCAAGAGGAGCTGGGTGAATTCTCAGTGCAGATCCACATGTAGCCATGTCTTAGCTCTCAGGCTTGTCTGAGGTACTCTGCAGGCTCTCAGGTGTTTGTGCCGTGTTGGCTTGGGCGTCCTGCACCCATGCACAGAGGCAATTAATTACCTGGAGTCATGATTGCAAGAGCTGGTGGTTGTCATTGGCACAACCCTGTGGTGCAATAGTCCACCTTTCCCTCACTATCCAGCGTAACAGCATGGAGAAACAAAATGCTCACTGCTGCGCTGCTAGCTCTTGTGCTGCTCACTGACTGGTTTTGGCACTCTTTGTCCATTAAAGGGAATAAGTGCCTTAGCATTTTGTAGAACTCTTTGTGCTTGAGGATTTTTAATCTGTGATTAAACATGACTGATGATTTGGTAGTGAGCCTAAAAAGGAGGAAAAGGCACAAAACCTGATCTGATATGGTTTAAAAAGCGTTCTGATCCTTCTCAGATCCTGGAAGATATTTGTACATGGTACAACACTCGTAGAAAATACAGATTTTAGGTAGGAAGAAGCAGCAGTGGCAGTTCTGTCATTCTTGAATGATACAGCTACATTACTTCTACTGTACTGATTTTTGGGGAAAATCTCCATGTCTCAAAAATTTAATGTATGCAATTCCGTACACACTACAGTCACTGCAGCACTTAGAAGCCAAATGTTACTGGAGTTTCCCGAGAAAAACTATTTTTTTTGCATTGGTCCAACCTTAAGTAAATGTAAACTGGAGAACAGAAGTGTGTCTGAGCACTTCCAGGCCTTTTGAATTTCTCTTGCATTAAAAATACTGTGTCAGTGGTAAGTAGGCAGTTAGTTTAAAAAATGGTTTATAGTTTGATGGTACTGAAAATAACGCCACTGAAGCTAGAGGGGCTGATGATACACCAGTTAAGATCTCTTTATTCTCTAGCAAGTCAAATATTTGGACAGCACCAAGCATTTTTCCCCCAAAAATAAGTATGCTTGGGGTGCTGGCAGTCAAAGCTGCTCCTGCTCCCCTTGTTCCCAATATCTATGCATTCTTTGCAACCTGTCCCGCAGCTGGAAGTGCATCCATTTGTGGAGTCAGGGAAGGGAAGTGGTTGGCGGAGCTGGGGGGAAATACCTGTACGGTTTGGCTTGAGTAGGACCCAGATGCAGGTCACAGCACAACACTGCTGATCACTGCAATGACGTGGCAGGAGGTACAGCATCAGGCTGGTACCACTGCAGAAAATGCACAAGGACTGTTGGGAAGAGCCCCTGAAGTGCCCAAAGAAACCCTCTCCAGTTTTCTTTGTGGAGGGTCAGGCAGTTGGTCTCCTGACAGAGCCTGGGGGCATTGCTTTAAATTTAGCCTGAAGGCAAGGTATTGGATTTGGGCTCTCATGCAGCCCTTAGCTGGTTGTACCAGAGGATTTCTGCTGTTAATGTTTGTCTGCTTCAGCTTTTACATAATTGTTGTGTTTTTCTTTATTTCAGGATTGGCATGCGAGGACGAGAGCTGATGGGTGGAGTTGGCAAAACGATGATGCAAAGCGGTGGGACGTTTGGGACGTTCATGGCTATAGGCATGGGAATCCGTTGCTAATCTGGAGCTTGGGTTTTTAACCTGAAGTGTCCCTGCCCAGCCATTCCTCCTCTGTACCATAATAAAGTCTTTAGATACCTGGAATTGAGTGCTCTTCATGAAATTGTGAAGCACCATTCTTGCTGTAGCTTCCTTCTGCAGATGTGCTCTTTACTGAATTTCTGCTTTCCTCACTTCTCTTACTCCCATGACAATTGCCCATGACAATGAGAATTGCTGCTTGGGCAGCTCGCGTATGTGCCGCCAACCTATTTCATTGATGCCTTCCCCAGCCTAGGAGAGTTATTCTGTGGTTAATTCAGAACAACGGTCAAATTTTACTCCTATTGCAAAATTTTCTTCTGTTGCATAAATAGTTGAAGTTGACCCTATTCCCAAGTTCTAGGTAACGTGATCATCTCATGCCTTGTTCTGGGGCAAATTCCCTTACAGAGAGCAATGAAACCCAGCCGCTGGCAGGGGTATTGAGCAAGTGCTTCTGCAACTTGCTGTGGGCAAACTGCCATAGCTCAGGCTCCTCCCTCCAGCCTGAAGGCACAGAATTGCTGGAAGAAGCCAAGGCACAGCGAGGAACAGCTGCAGGTACACTCCTGCTGCTGGAGCTGGAAATCACAAACTGGTACAAACAGGAAAAAAGCTCTCACCACCTGACAGCTGAAGGTACTTTGTGAAAGTCACACCTGCCATGGGGGATACCCACTCTGTCAGACCTTGAGCAACATCTTTGCAAAGCTGTCCTGTCAGGACGAGCTGTACTGGCTGCAAGTTGTCAGCACAGAACAGCATCCCTGGACTGTGCCGCCCCTTCCACGGCTCTCACCCCCCAAGTATGGGCTGTAGGGCACAAGTGTGAGTCGTTACCACCTCCTGTACCCAGCTCCTAGGCGACTTTCCATCCCCTTTGACAGGCAAGGTGCCTCTCCTCTCAAAGCAAGCTGTGCTAGCAGCCAACCCTGCTCCACACGTAGTCTCCTCCAGTCTTCCTTAATGGGCTTCTATTTCCTTAAGGAAATAAAGGCCTTTATAAGGTGCTTGCTCAACGCTTTGCAGGGAAAGAAGGGGGTTGCTCCCTACCATTCACCTGCTACCATGGTGTTGTGTACAGCTGGACTATGAAACATTTAGCTTAGTGTTGCAATCTCCTGTTACTTGGCTTTTGAAACAAGCCTTCCTTTGCTCCTCTTGTATTTCTACTGAATGATGGAAAAGGACAAGTTAGCTTCATTGAAGCACAACTATCAGCAGAGGAGCTGCAGCCAGTGCCTATACAGGATTTAGGTAGTCCAAGTGCCATTTCTCCACTCTTGACAGAGAAGTTGAGATTTGCCAGTAAAAGCTTGTTCTTTGCATGCTATCATGTGGCTTACTAACCTGTGAAGGAAATTCTGTGCAAATAAGTTGAGCAATACAGATGCTTTGGAACAGCTGAAGTTCTACCCCAACTAGCAGTGGTAGATTTATACTGGCAACTGAAAAAATAGTCAGGCAAAATAAAGTTAAGCTTTGCTTGGATTTCTTCAGCTGACGTACTTCTGGGCCAGCCTCTGGCCTCCTCCCCCACAATTTCCTTTCTATTCACTCCAGTTCATCTTCCCCCAGTCCCACTTCCATGGCCTCAGCCCTCCATCCTGGATTCCTGAAGGCCATCACTTACCTGCTGCAGCTCAACCAAAGCTACCCATACCCTGAATGGCAACCTAAGTAGCTGGAGCCCAGGTCACCACCGTACTCTGCCTGAAGGCACAGGCAGCATTCTCTGTTCAGCCCATCTTCACCCAGAGGCAGATACTCCCTGCCCCTTTTTCACAGAGCTGCTGTTGGCCAATGACTGAAGTGTCACAGAAGTGACAAAGAGGTACCAAGGCAGCAATACAATTGTCCCAGGTTCTCCAGGGTTGGTGTTCAGATTTCTACACCTGCATGATTTGCAACCATTTGTGAAAGATGGGGGGAGGGAGGAATTAACCTCCAGCACTGGTCTACAGGTAGCCTGAGGAAAGTAGAAGGGTTGGCCGCTGCCAGGCTGGTGAGTAACCCACAGGCCCTCACCCACAGCTGCAGCACACAATGGGTTCAGAACAGCAGGAAAAAGCACCTGCATTTTCTCCTGGAGATGGAGTTCCAGTTTTGAAAGAGTAGATGGAGGGGGCTGTTCAGAATGGAGGCAGGCGATAGACGCTCAAACACCCTGCTTGTATCGTATTAGGAGACGGGAGAAATAAGACTTCATAAAGGCCTTTTTAAGAGAATTTTATTTGAGTGGTTCTTACAAAGATTGTTGCAATATGAAAGTCTTTGTTTGATAGAAATATCAAGCTGTCCTGTCAAACACACTGAAGTAACCCAAAAATATATTTCAGAGCTCACAGAGCTTAAAAAGAGCAAAGATTATATGCAACCAGAACAAAACATGTTTCTGTATTTCCTGCTGATTTTCAGACTCTGCTGAAATCCTTCCAACTGTGCTACACTGCATACACAGAAACTTATCTGGAAATGCAGAGATCGTTTTGTTTGGAAACTTAAGACACACCTCACACAGTATTTACAAAGAAACTTTTACAGATACATTAATCAAAAGTTACCATCAAGAAATAAAACCCTTCAATCTTTCTATTCTTACCAATTATTCAGCACAAAGCAAGCTGAGTGGCTGACTGGAATCAGCTTTCAGTAGCCTTTTGAATTCTCCATTTATACACAACACTAAATATGTCCCTTCATAAAGTCTATCTCCGATATTAACCTTTAGCAGACCACCTACATTTAGTGAAATGTAAAATGTAATTGCTGCATTAAAAGAAAGGCTTGTGAAACATTAAAAATGTCATTATGTCCCATCTGCCTTTTACAGAGAATTTGTTTTCTATGAGCTACTTCTCAGTTCCTACAGATCACCTTAGTAAATGTACAAGAATTACAAGGCAGAACAAGAAGTCAACAGCTTTGTATACAGTGGAAATGCTAGTTAGGGAGAATGAACACACTGCATTTCTGCTTACTTCATTTTATTTTTAAAGGTAGCAGGAAGTGTACACAAAATGACATTAAATCCTTTCCTTTAGTTTTATCTAAATAAAAGATAACTCAATCTTCCTCCAAAAAATAACTATGTACAAAACTGACTAAATCCATCTTCATCGTCGAACAGGAACCAGTAGTTGGGTTGCAGTCATAGAATCTGGGAAAAGGCTATGGTATGTTGGAAGAGGTACATACGCTGCTGTAATCATTTTACCTAATCAGAAGATTAAAAAAAAAAAACACAACAAAATCAGTATTCGTTCATTTCTGCAATTAAGGAATAAACATATGTTTCTAGACGAAATCCACTCACCTGCAAACCACCTCCCATGCAATGCATTGACAGCTGCAATGGCAGCAGCAATTGAAGGACATTTGACATACACATTGCCCTGTAATACAGAAGTGTACAGTCTATTAGAAGCTTGAAGATTTCCTACATTGTCAATTCTCATAGACTTCCTTTGAATGGTTGTTATCGAGACAAACCTGCCTCACCATGTTTCTACTGGTACCCACTGGTACTATAGAATGAACACAAGAATATGGAAGTACTGGACAGAATTTTTACAAATACGCATTACCATACTGTAGCAGTTACTTCAGCAGGAAGTATGAATCTTTTCTAATGTTTTGCAAAAAAAAATGTGAGACAATGTGAGCTTGTCATGGAAGCAGAAAGCAATGGATTGCTTACTTGCTCCTTATACTGTTTGAATTATAATCTAATGGTTGCCAATTGCACAATTTCATTGTATAGTGGAAGACGTATGAGGAGTGGCTGAGGCCACTGGGCCTGTTCAGCCTGGCAAAAGAGGCTGAGGGGAGGGAGACCTCATCAGTCTACAGCTTCCTAATGAGTAGGAGTGGAGGAGCAGGTGCTGATCTATTCTCTTCAGTGACCAGTGATAGGACCCAAGGGAATGGAGTCAAGCTGTAGCAGGGAAGGTTTAGGCTGTACATCAGGAAAAGGTTCTTCACCAAGAGCATGGTTGCACACTGCAACAGGCTCCCCAGGGACACAGTCACAACACCAAGCCTGTTAGAGTTTAAGAAGCATTTGAACTGTGCACTTAGTCACTTGGTCTGAATTTTTGGGTAGACCCACAGGGTGCCAGGAGTTGGACTTGATGCTCCTTTCGGGTCCCTTCCAACTTGGGATATTCTATGATTCATGTGAAACAGAAGACTGCAAGGAGTTGGGCTAACCATCAAATTTCACGAGTAACTAACATTTAATGACAAAGACTTAACTAGTGCATCTAGTTAAGCATAACTAGTACACAGTTATTTTCAACAAGGTTAAGTACTTGTGCCTGGGGACAGGACATCCATCACTTCAAAGAAGGTTGGTACAGTAAGAACAACCTAAGATGGTACCTAACCAGAGTGACAGACACATCGTTTGTCTTTTGATGAGATATCTGGAATTGTCTATCTGCAAGCCAAGCAATAAACCAGCCTAACCCAAAGTACTGCAACATTCACATTGAAAACCAACAAAACAAATGTATACACATTACTGTAGACTTCTGCTTCTGGCCACCTGCTTAAACAGAATACTACCAGTAATTCTTCAACCAGGTTGCATCCTAGCTGAAAGATTTTAGAGGAAAATAAGGTATTAAGAAACTGAATTCAGCCTTCGCTTCAGCAGTATTCTCCAGCCTCTGCGAACTTCTCCCACTGTGACAGCATCCTTTCTCAAGGGAACAATCTGAGGTAAGGGCTCTAGCAGACCACAACCAGGCAGCAGAAAGCTGTTGTTTAAAGCACTGAGTAATGCACACAGTTGTTCTCAGCATTCCCCTGCACAGACATCCAAGCTGTTTATACCGTGAAATGAGACAGCAATAGAAAGCTTTAGTTTTCCTTACACACCACACAGATTGGTGCGGTGCAAGAGAAAATTATGCGTTCAGCTTGGACTGCAATCTTTTCACCCCCACCAGTTATGACTTCACTGCTGAATACTGACAGCCCTCAGAGCTTAGGAAGTCTGGCTGTCTGGAAAGGAGCCCCAAAAGATTGGGGATGAGAAACTGAAAATGAGAGAAAAA